TACCACACTACCCAAAACCCTTCCATGAGTTCTGTTATATAATGAAAAGTCTGGGTGGTGGCAGCTACCCCTTGTAAGTATAAAAAGTGTTATACAAAGAATAACATGGTTCCCCAGACTAACCCATGTATAAGAAAGACATAAACAAAGTATACTTCAGAAAGGTAAGAACATTGAAACTGAGAATACAATCTATATGAAAGGAAATGAAAAGAAAGAACCTTGACTTGGAAAACATAAGTGGAGAAGCATAAGAGTTACTTATATAAGAACATATAAGAATATAAGGTATATAGAGGTAAAGAACATATAAGAATAAATATATATGTAAAGAATGGAAGGAGAATAAGTATATTAAACAGGGTACTCATTGGAGGAATGCTACATAGAACAAATAAGTATATGAGTAAATAGAATACTAACAGAAAACAGTAGCTGGATGGTAAATTATTGAAAAGAGAAAACGCGGCCCGTTACAGGGACAGGAAAGGCGACCTGCTTAAACTGTCTGGATATAAGGGATTTCATCTCTATTCGGGTAAAGGTATAAGAGGGGTCTCAACATACATTAAGAATTCCATACCAGCAGAACTAGTTGGAAACCCGAGTAGAGTACAAGGAATAGAAAGTGTCTGTATAAAGTTATATTTGAAGGAAGGAGAACTGAACATAGCAAATTTGTATATTTCTGGATGCTGTTTTGACCTCAACTTCTTACCAGATTGCATGTTTTTGGACTCAACTTTGGCTGTAAGAGATTTTAATGCTCGACATCCAAGACTCGAAACAATGGGGAGAATTAATAGAAATGGTATAAAATTTTGGCAATTTTTACAAGATCACCCAGATTCTTACTTGTTAGGAAATAAGGAAGTGACTCATATTAAAGGAGGAAGGTTAGACTATGCTTGCATGATAAGCAGTCAGGGAGTCCAGGGAGAATGTGAGATAATAAGGGAGCTAGTCAGTGACCATTTTGTTGTGTATGTTCAATTACCATTAGGGAAGAGACAGGTGAGATATAGGAGGAAGAAATTGAAACTAAACAAGGATGACACAGAAGTGTTTAACCAAAATATAGAGAAATGGTACAGAAATTATACACCAGTCTGTATGGATAGCTTTTATAATGACTTAGTTGGGGAGATAGAAATATATTTGACTAAGTCAACACAGAAAAAAATAAATGATAAGAGACATGGGGCTAGGAAACACTGCTATACCAATGACAAAATGTTGAAGGGATGGACACAAATGTTAAGGGCAGCACATAAAGATTGGGTAAAGAATGGTAGAAGAGAAGAAGATAGGGAAATCTTCATGGATATAGCCAAAATATGTGGGCAGGCTAGGAAGGAGGCAAGGGAGAAATATTGGCAAGATTTTGCACAGCACATTGGGGAGAGTAAAAATCTCAAAGAAATATGGCAGGATATTAACAAAATTAGAGGAAAAAGGAGTAATTTTATTAGCTATCCTCATCCAGAGGAAGAAGCTAATAAACTGGTTGACAAATGATCTAAAGCTGCTAGTGTTGCCTCCCTGCCTAACAGGACAATAGAAGCATTAGATGAGTGGCAAAATGAAAGAAAAAGATTTATTTCATCAGCTCTAAATATTTGTGATGTAACATGTGTAGATATTACTCAAGATGAGTTATTAAATGCTGTTAAAAAGGAAAATCTACAGCACCAGGCGAAGATGGTGTGACTTATGAAATTTTGAACTGCTTAGTTGGTATGGAAAATAGTCCATTATTAGATTTATTCAACATGAGCTATACAGAGGGTAGATTACCAACAGAATGGAAGAAAGCGATAGTTATTCCTGTCCCTAAGGCAACTGGTGGATACAGGCCAGTGTCTTTAACATCTTGTTTTTCCAAGATGATGGAGAGAGTATTATTAAATAGGCTTGTATATATTGTGGGGGAAAATCTATCTTGTAATTTATTTGTTTTTTTTGGAAGGGAAATGTACTTCAGACTGTGTTATAAAATGTTTATCAAATGATGCAGACAGATGTAGAGTTTTTGTGGATTTACAAGGAGCATTTGATAAAGCTCACAGTGAAGTAGTTATGAGTGAACTGGCTGCTCTAGGGGTATCAGGAAAGTTGTTACACTGGATAGGTGACTACTTGCATGGAAGGAGAATCTGTGTATGGTATCAGGGATGTTTGTCTGAGGAAAGAGCACTTGAACTAGGCACTCCCCAAGGGGGAGTATTGAGTCCAATGTTATTTAATGTGTTAATGAACAAGATAGCCTCACACAAATATCACAAAGGAGTTGTAACCATCATTTATGCAGATGACATCTTATTTCAAGGAAACTCTGTAAAAAATTTGCAGATTGCATTAAATGATTTTAGTGTTCTTTCTCAAAAGATGGGCTTAGTTATCAATGAAGAAAAAACCAAGTGTGAATGTAAAGGAAGAGGAACTGAATCCGTTTTTCTAAATGGAAAAATTGTTGAGAAGTGTCAAAGTATAAATATTTAGGAATGTATATTGGCTTTACTAGTGAAAGTAAAGAGGCAGAAATATATCATGTCCTCACTCAATGTAGAGCAAGATTACAGCCCTTGAAGGCTCTAGCATGTTGTTGTAAAGGTGCTGGGGTACCCATACTGAGAATGATGTGTATTTCTACCATCAGATCACTTATAGACTATGCAGCACCTGTCCTCTCTTGTACTGGTGAAGGAAGGCTACGGAAGCTTGAGATCATGCAAAATGAAGCAATGAGAATTATTTTAGGGTGTCAAAAGAATGCAATGATTGAGATAATGAAAATGGAACTAGGGTTACAGAGCATTTCACAGAGGGTCAATGAAATTAATACAGTTGCAGCAGTTCGATTAATGAGAGGGAACAGTGGGGGTAAATTTGTACAAGATATAAATGATGGTTTAAAAGATAAAAGGACCTTCTGCAGGCAAGGCAAGAGAGGATACATGAATGGATTAGTAAATATTATTAAAAAATGTAATCTGGCAGACTGGTGTACAGCTGTTCAGAAGAGTTGTAAGAATCCACCCTGGGAAGAACGAGAAGTAGAGTTAGACATAGTGCCTCTCACAATGAAGAAATCATTACATGAACCAGGACAGTTAAGGGCTTTATATGGGAATAAGATTAGTAATTTGCCTAAAATAAACACATTGCATGTTTTTGTGACGGTTCAGTTATGTCAAGTGGCAGGGCAGGGTGCGGGATCCTTATAAGACAGTACACAGAACAAGGAAATGATGACATCAAAATTGGACTTTGGTTGAGAAGTTTTATTTCATCAACACAAGCTGAGTTATATGCAATGTTAGTAGGATTGGAAAATGTTGTAAAGAGGTATAAAGATGCATATTTTTTTGTTGATAGTAGGGCAGCTTTGGATTCTTTGAACAGTGGGAGTCCAGTCTTTGGACACATTATTGGTTCATGTAGAAAATTAGTAAATACAATACGGAAAAATGGCCATAATGTTCAATTTGTATGGGTCCCTTCACATGTGGGGATTGGTCTTAATGTTGTCAAATTATGTATTTTTGAATGCAGACATTAGTGATTGCGCTGTGTACCGACAACATTTTCATTTGTAATTCCCTTTAAAATGGCCGGCAAGCGTTAGTGAGAGAGTTTCGTGGTGCCGAGAAGAAAATGAGACGCCCATCTATGTACAGTATTATTTTCCCATTTTCGACTTGCGACCCGGTTGCCGGTCCCTGACCCCGTCGTAAGTCGGAGACCGACTGTACCGTAATGTACTGGCTATATACGGTATAGCTCTACTGTATATCATTATCTACAAGAGTTAAGTCGGACTCGCGAACGAGCCTCGGGAGCTCGACTCGTCTGTCGGTCGAAGAGCTCCTATACGGTATTGGCTTATAATTGACGAGTACGGTCACCCCAAAATAATATCTTTAGCCACGGGGTCGACGTGCTTCGAGGCTATTCGACCAATGTTACACGACCCATTTCAGAACTGTTGCTAACTCTACGTCTACACCTCTGAGCACGAATGAGTATACGTATGTTTTTGAGAGATGCGAATCCTCCGAGGCTTCCGATCGCACGTCAAGCGAATTGAGATTGCATGTCGTAAATGGACGCCGACGCCGTGCCGGTCATTAATGGGATCTTACGTCAAACGAACCGAGGAATTATCGGAAAGACGCAACGGGGCGAGCGAACCCGCGGTATCGCGATGGATCAGCCGCCACGAAAAGACCGGCGACGAGCCGATTTAAATTCTTATTGTGACGTTAAACCGACACTATTTACGAATCAATAATATTTGGCAGATCCCAATTAGACCGATATACTGTATATTGCTGTAGCTGTTCACTCTAATATCAACTACTATTTCCTTGGTCACCTCTCATAAATCATACGTGTCGTCGACCACTATATTCTGCAGCTCGGTACGAATGAAACCGTCACTACGACACGGTGAAATGTTCGCCTCGAGGTCCGTCTCGGTTGTGATCCGAAACTCTTCCATTTAAAGTATATTTCCATGTTATTGTAATCCTCAGTCAGGGGCTTCTTTACATATGCCTTGCTTCTACCCAGCACGATACATACATTAATATAGCTTAATGGAGTTCTTGTTATAGTAAAGCATATACTGTACGGTTGTATGTCACGCGAGGATGACTCCCTCTCTCGCTACCCGCCGTCTATGGCTGTTGCTCATATAGTGACCGGATGTACCTGTACCAATTTATGCTGATGCACTGGAGATCAAATCAAAGTATTTCACCCAGCGTTTCAAATTTTACCGTTAGAAAATCTATCGATACTTTTTGGAGACTACATAATTTGGGGGAAACTTTTTTCATTTAAGAAAAGTATCTTGGCTTTTATAATGTGAGTCTATAGGAATATTGATTCGATTTACTATAGGTTTTTATAAGACACAGTACTCTTTTAAACTGGGGAATGCCTGTAGAACTTTCCTAACATTCAAAGTACCACAACAATATTAAATACAATACCACAGACTACTTGAGGTCCAGTTAGCTTCAGGTCCACTTCACTGCAGGTCCAGTTAACTTTATATCCAGCCAACTTCATTCTAGTTCACACCAGGTCCAAAATTTCAGGTCCACTTTAGGCAGTGATGGAGAAAGTACCTGAAAATATTACTTAAGATAAAGTACTGCACTGTTGATATGCAAACATTTAAACTATGTACTAAGTACTGTAGTCTTCTTCAAAACTATGCAAATAAAAGTTTCATTTACTGAATTGAAACATACAAGCAGAAAAAGGTATAAAAAGTAGTACAGCATTTGTAAAGAATCATAATTAAAAAACAATGGCATTATGTTTTCAAAACGAAGCTTAAAGTTATTAATATATCATACAGTATTGTACTTTAAAGAAAAACTAAATAAACACACATTCAAAATTTGGTATGGGATGGAAAACGTGAATCTGGGCCACAGTTTTGATAGGTCCCGTACCACCAACACCAATGGGAAGTGACTTTAGACACAAACATTTACATAAATGTCCACTTTTATAGGATTACTGTACAAGTGCACTTAAATACAAGTCCTCTAATACGCTCGGCTCGTACGCCCGACGCGAAGTGACGACGTCGGTCTTACCTCCCGCGGGTCGGCGGCGGCGGCGTTTCTCCGTTTGCCGTTAACGGCGTCGTGTGCGAGACCGGACGGGTCTGTACGGTCGAGTCTCCACTTGTCGTACCGAGATGTGTTGTTGGTCCTTAAAGCTTCCTGGAAATGTAACAGATACCTATATAATACACAACACTGTAAAACTATTATATTATAGGCAGGGATTATTTGACCAGTACTCGGCACAATAACCGCCGGTTATTTGACAAAGATCTAAAATAAAACTAAATCCTTTTGTCAACAGAAATTATACAATTAAATAATACCATCATGGAATGACTTGTTTAATGCCCCCAACCATCCCGACTACAATCCCACACGATCCCCGCAGGTCCCGGTCAAATAGCCGACGGTCATTTGGCCCAGAATCCGGGTCAAATAACAACTTTGTATTAAAAATAAACATTACTCAATAGTTTAACACCACATGGAGAAACCGATTACTCAAATAGGTTACGTAAAGTTGAAATTATCTTTTTCCAACGGTTTTTATGGATATTTTGAACGATTATGACTTTTGGAAAATAGATGCACGGCCAAAACGATAATTTTACCAGTATTTATTTGGATTTTTTCTAATAAATTTATATGATCTTAATTCCCTTACACTAACAAAAACAATGAATCTTCCAAAAAAAGTTACTTTCAACATGAAGGGTTAAAAAAAAACATTGAAAACCCTACCTAACCTAATCTAATCTAAACTACCTAACTTCTTGCGATGGACGAGCAAAAATTTAATCGCCATACCCGGTTTCGTACAGTCCAATAGCGTCTACATTTCGTGGACGTGACCGACGTAGAACGAAACTGCGACGTTATTGACGGATTCTTTTCGTGCTTCCGGGAGAAACGCACAATTTTGCGGGATTTATTATTTAAATCTCTCTCGCTCGAATTTCACATAATCTGCTGTGACCAAACAGAGGACAGTGCAAATCTATTGTGATATTTACGCAGGAGCTTAAACTTTTTTTTCTAGATATATTTAAGCCTCCTTCGTGACCTAAACGTTGAAGACGAGAACCGACTCACAGACAAAACATTAAAACACAAAAACAAAACATTAAAGAAATAACTTTTTCTGTTATCACTAGTTAAATACAGCTACTCCTCGACTTACGACCTACTCGACCTACGACCGCCTCGGTCGTACCAAAATTTTGTCAAATTACCTATTTTCGAGTCCCGACGTGAGTGATTGCACTGTGTACCGACAAAATTTTTGTTTGTAATTCCCTTTAAAATGGCTGGCAAACGTAAGAGTGAGAGTTCTCGTTGTGCCGAGAAGAAGAATTGACACCCGTTTTAGATTTTCTATGTACGGTATTATTTTCGACTTGCGACCCGGTTGCCGGTCCCTGACCCCGTCGTCAGTCGGGGACCGACTGTACCGTAATGTGCTGGGTATATACGGTATAGCTCTACTGTATATCATTATCTACAAGAGTTAAGTCGGACTCGCGAACGAGCCTCGGGAGCTCGACTCGTCCGTCTGTCGAGAAGCTCCTGTATTGGCTTATAATCGACGTGTACGGTCACCCAAAAATAATATCTTTAGCCACGGGGTCGACGTGATTCGACCAATGTTACACGACCCGTTTCAGAACTGTTGCTAACTCTACGTCTACACCTCTGAGCATACGTATGTTTTTGAGAGATGCGAATCCTCCGAGGCTTCCGATCGCACGTCAAGCGAATTGAGATTGCGTGTCGTAAATGGACGCCGACGCCGTGCCGGTCATTAATGGGATCTGACGTCAAACGAACCGAGGAATTATCGGAAAGACGCAACGGGGCGAGCGAACCCGCGGTATCGCGATGGTTCAGCCGCCACGAAACGACCGGCGACGCGCCGATTTAAATTCTTATTGTGACGTTAAACCGACACTATTTACGAATCAATAATATTTGGCAGATCCCAATTAGACCGATATACTGTATATCGCTGTAGCTGTTCACTCTAATATCAACTACTATTTCCTTGATCACCTCTCATAAATCATACGTGTCGTCGACGACTATATTCTGCAACTCGGTACGAATGAAACCGTCACTACGACACGGTGAAATGTTCGCCTCGAGGTCCGTCTCGGTTGTGATCCGAAACTCTTCCATTTAAAGTATATTTCCATGTTATTGTAATCCTCAGTCAGGGGCTTCTTTACATATGCCTTGCTTCTACCCAGCACGATACATACATTAATATAGCTTAATGGAGTTTTTGTTATAGTAAAGCATATACTGTACGGTTGTATGTCACGCGAGGATGACTCCCTCTCTCGCTACCCGCCGTCTATGGCTGTTGCTCATATAGTGACCGGATGTACCTGTACCAATTTATGCTGATGCACTGGAGATCAAATCAAAGTCTTTCACCCAGCGTTTCAAATTTTACCGCTAGAAAATCTATCAATACTTTTTGGGGGGGGGGAGCTTTTTTCATTGAAGAAAAGTATCTTGGCTTTTATAATGTGAGTCTATAGGAATATTGATTCGATTTACCATAGGTTTTTATAAGACACAGTACTCTTACAAACTGGGGAATGCCTGTAGAACTTTCCTAACATTCAAAGTACCACAACAATATTAAATACAATACCACAGACTACTTGAGGTCCAGTAAATTTCATGTCCAGCCAACTTCATTCTAGTTCACATCAGGTCCACTGTAGGCAGTGTTGGAGAAAGTGCCTGAAAATATTACTTAAGATAAAGTACTGCACTGTTGATATGTAAAAATTTAAACTATGTCCTGTAGTCTTCTTCAAAACTATGCAAATAAAAGTTTACTCAACTCAACTGATTCATATAAGTAGAAAAAAGTATTTAGAGTACCACAGCATTTATAGAGTATCATAATTAATAAACAATGACATTATGTTTTGAAAACGAAACTTAAAGTTATTAATATACTGTACTGTACTTTAAAGAAA